TTTTTTTTTTTTTTTTTTTTGGTGGTGGCTATCAACCCAGGGCCTCATACATGCCAGACAGGTGAGTTACCACTGAGTTTCAGCCCCAGCCCTGGATAGTAGTTTTTGTTGGTTGGTCTTTATACAGTTTAGTTAGCCACAGGAATGTTGATTAGGCAACCTTAATAATAGCCAATCTTGTTAGGATATGATAACTATTCAGTACATTTTTTTTTTCTAATAGGAAAAAAATTAAAAATTTTAGAATATTAGATACAAAGAAACCACTTTCTCTATGGTATGGAAAAGAAGTATCAGGGTTTGGGGAAGAATAAACAGAAATACTTTTTGGCAGTTATATTTGTGTCTTTTAAAAATTGCATTTAAATCTATTGATTGAAACAAGTTTTATTGAACATCTTCTATGTGCTTGTAACTGTTCTAGGTACTGAGAATACCTTAATGCTCAAAATTTGACTTATTATTCCTTTCTCATGAGTTTAAACATCAGTAAGTCCTGGAACATTACTACCAATGATTTCCCAAATCAGCTGCCAACACTATCAGGAAATCATAGAAATGTAAACTGTTATTAAGGGATCAAATTTTGAGGGGTACAATGTTACTTCAGGACCAGAGACTAAAGTCAGGTGCCTATCCTGCTGACAATTTAAAATATAAAATGTAATTTATGGTTTAATATTTTCATTATCAGAGACTCCACACTAGGTGGCGCCCCAGGTCACGACTGAAGCAGTAAAAAGCAATTTAAACATTATATGGGCTTCCATGCTAGAAGCAGTTTCCCTCTGGATTCTGAGAAATAGTATTGAGAGAAAGGGATCTGGACACAGTGGCACAAGCCTGGAGTGGCACAAGTCCTTGACCCATTGACTCAGGAGGCTGAGGCAAGATGATTGCAAGTTCAAGGCCAGTCTGGGCACTTAGTGAGACTCTGTCTCAAAATAAAAATAAAAAGGGCTGGGGATATAGCTCAGTGGTAGAGTGCCCCTGAGTTCCACCCTCAGTATCACAGAAATGGGAGAGGATGGAGGTGAGGGTGGGGGCAGGGAGGAAGGAATGAGGTTGCATTAAGTGATGATCACACTGTTCTTTGTTTAAGGGATGAGAAGTGGAAGTGAAATCTACTACATTGGAAAGATGAAGGCTGAGAAATTTAAAAACTAAAACCACAGTATTAAGGTGAAAACACAGCCTTCTCTAGACTGAGAGGAACCCTGTGTTAAGAAATGTTAGGATAAAGAAGAAGGATTACTATACAAGGACAGATTATATAAGTGAACTTCACCTTTCATGGTTGGGAGGTTTTGAAATGAATTTAACAGATTCAACTAAGCTTAATGGATGATAGAGCCAGAAGAGACATCATCTCTCCTGTCTGTCAAACAGAGGAGCCTCTGTCTAACCGAGTAGTGAACATGTTGTAGGCAGTATTACCTAACAAAGCTGGGAATCTGTACAACCCTGTAATGTTTACATAATCTCACACGTTAAGCTTCAGGTCTTGATAGAAATTGACTTACGGATATCCTGAGATAGTTTGGAAGAACTAGAAAAGAGTATTTTATTCTCAGATGCAGGTATTACTAAAAGTGAGGAGTATCTCACAAAATGCTTGGCTGACATTCTAAGCTTGGCATTCTTCTGGTCCATGTTTGAGGCTTAGTCTTTCCCCTTTCCTGGCAACTTCAGCTAATATATGCATTTCCTTTATTTATGAAACTTTTTTTTTTTTTTTT